TTTTTTTTTTTTTTTTTTTTTTTTTTTTTTTTTTTTTGTCTTTTGTCTTTTTCCGTGTCCGGCAACGGATCGCAACCCTCAGTGTTGCCCCCGTACCGGACCGGGGACCGGCAATGGGATTGCAACCCTCGGTGTCGCTCCCGTGCCTCGCTCAGCCAGTGAGCGGGAACCGGTCTGTATGTGGGATCCGAACCCTCGGGCGGGAGCTCCGCTGCGCTTCCCAAGCGGCGCACTTATCCAGTGCGCCACCGGGCCGGCCATAAGAAGAAATATTTTCTGATACCTGTATTCTGGATTCTTCAGCTTTCATGACTAACTGGTCACAATGTCTAGGCAAGATCTTTAGGACCTATTCTGTTTAGTCCAGTATTAGTTTCAAATTAGTATCCAGTGACAATCTGTTGATTGCAACTCTACAGTTCCCTTTCCCTCAAATTCTTCTCTCTTTCTGATCTACTGGAAAATAATCAATGTAGACTATTAGAAAGTAACTCAGCTCTTAATTATTTGCAAAAAGAGAAGCATACTACATTCTCACTTGCCATCCATTGGATACTAATTCTGTGAAAAATAATAAAGAAACTAATTTCTTTTTGTAATTTAATGGGGCAACAACCAATAGGTGATGATTTTCCATTGTGTTTCGTAAAAGCTTTAAGGGCCAAATACCAACTTTTTCTGTAAATTGTTTTCTAAATATAAATATATTAGCTCTTATTCAACTTGAACTGTGGGGTTTATTTTCATAGTATTCCTACATGGGCTGTTCTGTCAGTGTGTCCTTGTTTCTGTGAGCTTGGTTTGGTAGCATTCTCCCTCTTCGCCTTGCTTTGGGCTGAAAAGCTAGTGACTAGGTTTTATAAACCTGAATAGTGCTAGGGTTTCTTCATTGTCTTCTGGGGCTGGGCCTCGGAGTCCAGCTTTGTCCTGGCTGGCCAGCCAACATTTCATTCATCCAAGCCCTTCAGATCACAAGGGATGTTCTGTGTGTCTGCATGTATGCTTGTACAATCTTCTTCACCTTTCCTCATCAGAAGTTTCAAGAAAAAAATGTGATTTCTCCAAAGAACAATACCCTTTTTGATCTCCCTTGTAAGATAAAGGCCATCTCTTAAAGAACGACTGAATAAAATTTTTAATTTACTTTTATTTGACCCAGGCGGATGGTGCTACAAGTGATGACCTTGATTTGCATGATGATCGTCTATCCTACCTGTCAGCCCCAGGTAGTGAATATTCAATGTATAGCACGGACAGTAGACACACTTCTGACTATGAAGACACAGATACAGAAGGCGGGGCCTACACTGATCAAGAACTAGATGAAACTCTTAATGATGAGGTTGGGACTCCACCGGAGTCTGCCATTACACGGTCCTCTGAGCCTGTAAGAGAGGACTCCTCTGGAATGCATCATGAAAACCAAACATATCCTCCTTACTCACCACAAGCGCAGCCACAACCAATTCATAGAATAGACTCCCCTGGATTTAAGACAGCCTCTCAACAGGTAAGCAGTAAGCATTCAACGTTTTGTAGTTAGAGGTGCATTATTAAGTTTTAGAATGTGGTGATTGAGTTAAGAATATATTTTGTCCTTTCTCCAGATTAAGAGTTAATCTTTAATTTCAATTTGAGAGTACCAAGGGCTTAATTCTAAATCTTGTGTGTTCGTCTTACACAGCAATATACTGGATTTTTTGTTTTATTAAATTTCAGACATGAGGTTGCAGTTTTCTTAAAACACTTAACATGTATGTCTACCAATCACTATAAAATTGAAGTGGGAAGTTAGCAGTAAACAGAAACACTATATTTAAAATATTTTAAACACTTCACAGAAAGCAGAAGCCTCATCTCCAGTCCCTTACCTTTCGCCTGAAACAAACCCAGCATCATCAACCTCTGCTGTTAATCATAATGTAAATTTAACTAATGTCAGACTGGAGGAGCCTACCCCAGCTCCTTCCACCTCTTACTCACCACAAGCTGATTCTTTAAGAACACCAAGTACTGAGGCAGCTCACATAATGCTAAGAGACCAAGAACCATCATTGTCGTCGCATGTAGATCCAGCAAAGGTACCTGTGCTGCAGTGTTGCACTAACTTGTTGCTCTCCATCAGTCCAGCCACATGATCAGTTTTGCTTTGTCCTTTGTTTCTTTTGCTTTTTTACTGTGGGCTTATACACCATAGTGCTTTCAAATCAGTACAAATCATTTCAGTTTTGTAGTTTGCATGGCTTCCAATGGTGTACTGATTATCTGAAAACAGGCCTTTTAATTGAGATTTGTGCTTAATGTTTTTCTATTTTTATTAATTTTATTTTCGGTTTTCACTATCTTCCAGAATTCCTTAATATGTAGTTGAAACCTATCATAAACATTTTTATTTTTATATAAATTATGGTGTCCATAAATTTTCTTCATAATTTTTATTTTGTGTCAAAATCAAGCAGAATCAATAGCACATAAATTTTCTACTAAATTTAATAATTAATTGTCTTTAACTCACTGTTCATTTAGTACATGCTGAAACATAAAAGCCCCTACCTGCATTATAAAATTTGAGCTTTCTCTTAAACTAGCTTTCTTCACTAATTTTGTCTGTCTTGGTGTTAAATGGTAGAACATACCATTTTCACATATTAAATTATAGTTTTAATATTTAATCATAGTCTAATAAAGTAGACTAGAATTTAAAACAAGCCTTTGTCCTTAAACATGATTTTTTTTATACAGGTATACAGAAAGGATCCATATCCTGAAGAAATGTTAAGACAGAATCATGTTTTGAAACAGCCAGCTGTTGGTCACCCAGGGCAGAGGCCAGACAAAGAGCCTAATCTGACCTATGAACCCCAACTGTCATACTTAGAGAAACAAACCAGCAGAGACCTTGAGCAGCCCACATACAGATATGACTCCTCCAACTACACAGACCAGTTTTCTCGAACCTATGACCATCGCCTACGGTATGAAGATCGCATCCCTACTTATGAAGAACAGTGGTCATATTATGATGACAAACAACCCTACCAACCTCGGTCTTCTTTTGATAATCAGCACCCTCGAGACCTTGACTCCAGACAGCATCCTGATGAGTCCTCAGAACAAGGGTATTTCCCACGTTTTGAAGAGCCAGCCCCTCTGTCTTATGACAGTAGACCACGCTACGAACAGCCACCTAGAACCTCCACCCTACGCCATGAAGAGCAACCAACTTCTGGGTATGATATGCATAGTAGATACAGACCCGAAGCACAGCCCTATCCTTCAGCAGGTCCTAAGACATCTGAGCCGAAGCAGTATTTTGACCAATATACACGAAGTTATGAGCAAGTACCATCACAGGGACTTACCTCTAAAGCGGGTCATTATGAGCCTCTGCATAGTGCTGCAGTTGTCCCTCCTCTGATATCTTCTTCTCAACATAAGCCCGAAGTTCTGCCTTCAAATACCAAACCACTGCCTCCACCCCCAGCCGTAACTGAAGAAGAGGAAGATCCAGCAATGAAACCGCAGTCTGTGCTCACCAGAGTTAAAATGTTTGAAAACAAAAGATCTGCATCATTGGAGAATAAAAAGGATGTGAATGACACTGCCAGTTTTAAGGTAGATATGTAAATATGTCTTTACTGCCTTTGGTCGATAGGCATGTTAAGTGGAGAGCAGTTCAAAATGCTTCTTAGCTCTGCCCTCCCCTCTTAAGCTACCTCTGTTTTGTAATTATCTTGGGCATGTTTGTCTTATTTTTCTGCAGCCTCCAGAGGTAACACCTAAACCTCCAAGTGCTCCCATCATTGGTCCTAAACCCACTCCTCAGAGTCAATTCAGTGAACATGACAAAACTCTATATAGGTGGGTATGCTTTGTGGTATTTATGGCATAGAAATGACCAGGAATTTGACCCTTTTAGTCAGTGAGAAAGCTTTTTACTGTATTAGCAAAAGAAAGGCAAAAGGGGGGAGAGAATTTCATTTGTCCTTAAATAAAAACTATGAGCTCTCCTAATTATAAAACCGTGATCCTACAGAAAAAAATAAAGAGCTTTATTTTACTGTCTAGCAAATCCTCATTATACCTTCAGTAAACAAATCTTTTGAAAAGATATTTTTCTAGCAAATGATTAAAATAAAAATTTTAAAGCCCTAACATTTGTATTATGTTTTTTAGTTTTAAAAGTGCTTTCAGACATATGAACTCTTAGTTTTCAGGGGTTAGGAAACACACAGGTTGGTTAAAATAACTAAAAATCATTTAGTGAGCATTCATAATATGCTTGCCATAGGCCTGAGCACCTCAGCACAATGAGGTAACACTGTTGTTTTCTGCATTCTAAAGACAGTTACTGAAGCTGAGAGGAGTTGAGTAGCTTGTAGGACTTGTTAGAACTGGGAGAGAAACCTGGCCTCATTATACTGCTAATAAGTGACAGACTGGATTTGAATAGTTTTTCTGTCTAACTAATACGTTTTATTTGCCGAATATACATTTGCACTTGTAATAAAGAACAACTACTGTCTAACATATTAATTTGTTTCATTACTTTCTTCCCCATCTGCTTTCTTTGCCCTCTAGAATTTTGGACTGTATAGAGCTGTTTGCTCACGTGAGAATCACTTGTTGATCCTAGATTAAAGTTCTTAAAAATCCTTCTTAAAATTCTTACAAAGTCTGTCACTGTTGCTGACATTGGCGTTTGTACTTTGAGAAGTTCTCCATGTCTTGGTTACATTCCCCTTTTGCTTTCTGATTAACTGCTTCTAACCTGTTCTGTGAGGCCCCTAACCAGGAAAACATTGAGCTTATTAAATTGTGTTTAAGGTTTCCTAAGCCAGAAAGGGGCTGCCTTTTGAGTGTACTCCATGAGGACATGGGATTTGAAATATCCATTTTAACTGTTTGGTCCGCTAGATCCTAAATAATCACAGCAGTCAGTGAAAGGGTGAAGATAAGATTTATATATTTTATATTATTTGTAAAATTAACAAGTAAAAGCTTTTTCCATTTGTCATTTTTTGTCTGTCAGAATCCCAGAACCTCAAAAACCTCAACAAAAGCCACCTGAAGATATTGTTCGTTCAAATCATTATGATCCTGAGGAAGATGAAGAATATTATCGAAAACAGCTCTCATACTTTGACCGAAGAAGTTTTGAGAACAAGCCTCCTGCACACATTTCTGCCAGCCATCTTTCAGAGCCTGCCAAGCCAATTCAGTCTCAGAATCAACCAAATTTTTCTAATTATTCTTCAAAGTAAGTTATTTACCTAGGTCTTATCTTTCTTCAAAAATAAGATGAAACAAAGGTTCAATTGCAGAAAGTGGTGTCAATCATGTGACGTTCAATATATTTTGAAGGAAAGTAGTAAGTATATATAGTATGATATTTCTGTAGGCTCTAGTGGCTCAGCCCTTGAACATACTTTCTAGTGCTTGAAAGTGTGTTTGTTTTTTGTTCTTCAACTCTGATATCAGATGTATGGAGTTTTTGCATTAGAAAAGGTGCTAAAATCAAGGGTTTTGGTGGAAGAGAAAGTAAATTGTGAAGACTGATTTTTTTTAGGTGAATCGTCAGTCTCTCCACTTCTGTATATACACTTGACTGTTCTTTTTCTTATGTTCTGTTTTTATTTTTTAAATATAAAAACAGTGATGTGAGGGAGATGAACACTGTTGAGGGAAATACTAAAGAGTTGTTGTTTCTTCCCAAAGAGAGAAAGGGTTTGTCTTTTTTTACTGTTGGTGTTTGAGGGGACTTTAGAGATTTCTGGCCCCGTTTCATAGATGAGGAAAAGATCGGGTAAGGTGAAATGACAGAGCAGAGCTGGGACTGAACCCTAAGTTTGTTGACTCCCAGTCTTTTCCTCTTCCGTGCTACTCCCTTCTGTTTATCATCTTTTGGGTTTTTTGTTGGTTGGTGGTTCTCTTTTGTGCTTGCGTGGATTTGTGTCTCCTGCTGGTTCTTCTTCCTTGTTTGAATCCTGACCAATAGAGAATCTGGTACCAAGAGTTGGGTATAAACCACCACAGGCACAAAACAAAACCGTAAGAACAAAACAGATGTGGATTTGTCAAACAGAATATGTTTACACAATTGTGAGGGCTGGCTAAGCAAGTCCCTGGTCAGAGGACAGGTGGTCAAGAAGGGAAGGTCCAGAGCTGTTGGGGAGTCTCTGAGCTCAGGGTAGGCCCAAGTTCTCTTTCAAAGGGCTCAGCTGAGTAGATCATGCTCACCCAGATTATCTCCTTCTGATTAACTTAAAGTCAACTGACTAGAGGCATTACATCTGAAAAATCCCTTCACAGCAGCACCTAGGTTAGTGTTTAAATACCTGGGACTGTAGTTTATTCTAGCCAAGTTGACACATCAAAAGCCATTATACATTAGTTTTGTGTCTAAGATTAGAAGCACCTAAATTTTTACTTAATTAGATGCTTGGGATTGTCTGAACCTAACTTTAATTTGTCATTTACTATTGATTGAAAATTCTTTTAGAATATACTTTAAAATCTCTGACACTAAAAGCCTAATTTTAATTACCACTGTTTTTTCTCAGACATCATTTGAAGTGAAGACTTAAAACACTTTTTCCACTGTCATCTATTTAAATCTTTAGGTGTACAAAAGAAAGCAGTTTATATGAGAAATACAAGTGCAAACTTTGAATGCTACATTGGGGTTGTGTTAAATGCAAATACTGTTTTAAACTAGTGTTGTGAACCTCCCCTTGTACAACAATGGAAAGGTTCACACGTAGCATCTAGATAGTGTCGACTAAGGCAAGCAAGGCACTGAGCTTTAGGAGGGCACCTTTGGTAGGGTGGAAGGGCGTGCTCTTTAGTAATCATTTTTACTTTTGCTGTTAAATACGTTCATGTCTATCAGAAGAGGGCCTGTGGTATAGTTTAAGAGATATTTTATTTATCCTTTTACATACTTGGTAAATAGAATACAACATTAAAAGAATACATTTTGGTCTAAAAAGTAAGTTAAAGGTTTTGGCAAGGAATCAAATGAAAAGCATTTTTGGTTTTCTGTTAATTTAGTTTTCCTGAAAGAAGACAGTAGCTTATTTGTGATGTATAACTTTCAGACAGGGTCTAGAACACTGCCTAATATACAGTGGGTTCTCAATAATTATTTATTCAGTGAATGGATCTCAACACAAGGCTCAGCATACTAGGTGAGTCAGCCACCCAGCTTTTCATTAACAGCTCTGGGAAGAACCACTGTTAGCTGGTCATAGTTTTCACAAGAATCTCTTGCCTTTGAAAGAAATAGGTAATATCTGTCTTTGTGAATTTGCACAAAACTCAGTTCACTGTTAGTGGTGTAGGAGTGAGGAAAGTGTAATTTGGGATGGGTACTCGTATACGTTTCCTTCCTTTGTAATATGAAATTAAAACTCTTCATAGTGGTGTTGCATTTTCCCATATAGGTATTTAATGGTTAGAGAATTGAAAAGGAGAGTAAAGGTCATAGAAGATGACTAAGAGGGAAGTTGTTTCTCTGCCTTCCCCTTCTGTGCTCTTCTACCCTCTTGCCCAATTAATACAACTTCGTCAACTGGAAAATAGTTTTAAATATGGGAGCTTCTTTGTCCTACATTTCAAACTGTTTATCTCTAATAGACTGCTTTTAGGCTATTTCCTTCAGTAAAATACGGGAATAGCAAAATTATCTACTTCCAGATGTATATGCTTATGTTCCAGTTAAAAACATTTCAGAAATTGTGAGAATTAGAGAGGGGCAGTGTCTTTGTTAGCAAAAGACAGATGCCCCAGAAAACAAGCAAATATTACTCTTTCTTAAAATTGTGTAAAGCTGGGCCGGCCCGGTGGCGCACTGGAGAGTGCGGCGCTCCCGTCGAGGGTTCGGATCCCATGTGGAGACCGGTTCCCGCTCACTGGCTGAGCGCGGTGCGGGCGCAACACCGAGGGTTGCGATCCCATTACCGGTCAGTAAAAAAAAGACAAAAAGGAAAAAAAAAAAATTCTGTAAAGCTGGATTACAACTGGGCAGGTTAGGAGATGGTAGCTCAGAAATTCACCCCCAAAGCAAGTTTCAGGATCCTAAGACAAGGCTAGAAGAGCAATCTCCTGTGCACATGTCCCAGCCTAGAGATTGAGCCAACATCTTCATCTACCTTTCAAGACTCAACTCACTGTGAGATTTACAGGTCCCAGAATAAATGATGGTTGTTTTTAGCTTTTTAAGAACTAAGTGTAAGAGATTGATGTCAGGTTGTTTGTGTGTGCATGTTACATTATTAGATGAGAAAGGCTGTGAGAGTTGAGCATGGCAGCTTTGCAAATAAGGCTCCAGCTACCACAGTGCTCAGTTTTATGACTGAAGAGGGATGAGGTCTAGCAAGAGGAACATATGTTAATCCTAGTCATATTTCAAAGATATGCATATTTGCATTTGCAGATTCATCATTCATTACCCTCCTACAGGATCAGTATAACTGCTATGTTGTATCACTTTTTCTTGTGTCTTCACTTAGAGAATTTATTTTGCCCAGCCTTTTTCTTTTAATGGAACATTTCACTCTCATTTATTCTGAACCTGCTGATTATCCTTAGTTACTACTCCTTGATTCAGTTCATTTCTTTGCTCACCATTAGCAACTGCAGCAGAAGTAGGCAGAGGTGGAAGAGGAGTAAAGCTCAAACACGCCACTGTTCACTAGCAATTCCAGTTAAAGTATGTGGAGGGCTGGGTAGGCAGGCAGGTTGTAACTGAGTTACTGTGTTTTAATTTGTTGGTAATTTCCTTGACTAAATGAGAGTTAGTGATACATTCTTTTATAGACCAAATAATCCTGAAATGGATATCGGTTGATATTTTTAAATGACATTTGCGTTCCATTTGCTGCAAATTGACTTAGTTAGATTGACCATTTTCTTTCATTTTTCTATTGCGCTTGCTTTGCCATCACCTAGATTTCTTGGCTCTTACACTAGCTATGACTACTTGAAAAGGAGCATCAAGTGGTAAGACTGGCATTAATGTGAGGCTGTTACATAAGGTGTCCCTCACTGTGTCATTGGCATTATGTGCACTTTCAGATTTTAATGTCATCTTCAAATGTTTAGTCTAAATGTATGAAAGCAGGATAACAGCATAGTTTTAAAGCTAATATGAAACTAGACTTCTTCAGTGAAAGTCTTCTATGAAAATGAACATGCATTCCAAACATATTTGTTATTGTTTGTGCACATAAAGTCAGTGCAGCTTTTGCAATCTGCAGTAAGGTTTAAATGGCAATGTTGCAATTATGGGTCTATTTAAAAGGTTTCTTTTATGTGAATTTTGTATATTATATATTAACAATTGGATATCTGAAAAAATAATCATACACGGCACAATTTGACTTAAATGAGCCTTGTAAAATAAAGCAGTATCTGCTATTCTAGCAATCATTAAACAAAAATATGGATCTGGTAAATCAAGAGCAAATTTTAAAGTAAAAGATGTCCAAATTTTTTAGTGTTACTGGAACACAGCTGTATGCCCATTCCTTTATATACTGTCTGTGGCTGCTTTTGGGCTGTAAGAGCTGAGTTTAAATAGTGTGACAAAGACCGTATGGCCCAAAAAGCCAAAAATATTTACCATCTGGCCATTCACTGGAAAAGTTTGCCAGGCCCTGGTCTATGACATCATTTTTTATAGTGCTCTGAGTATGTCAGACGCTAAGTCATTGTACATTGAATACAAAATCAGAAGTGGGCCTAAAGAAGATTTGTGTCAAGATGTATCCTTCAAAATATTTGCAAGACCTTTTTAAATCTACCAACCATTATTTTTGTAAATAACACAGATATTAGAAGTATACCCAAAATTTCATCTGCCTTTTGGTTTCCGTCTTCTGGGTGTTTTACTAATAATTTTAGAGTATCTGTGCTGTCTTGATATGCCTTGTGCTGATAAACGGTTGAATTTATTTGTTGATTTTGGTAGTGTAGCTATTCATACTCTTAAGAATAAATTGTGAAATTTCTAGATTTTTTTTTTAACTTACGTATACTTGGAGGAATGAGAACTTTATTATGAGAACTTATTAGTAAATGTGAGACCATTTTTTTAGTTATTGGCATTTTCTTCGTTTTTTAACAGGGGGAAGCCTCCTGAAGCTGATGCTCTGGATAGATCTTTTGCTGAGAAACGCTATGACCCAATCCAGGCCACTCCCCCTCCTCCTCCATTGCCCTCTCAGTACATCCAGCCATCTCAGCCTGTCACCAGCTCTTCTCTCCACATGCATTCTAAGGGAGGACATGGTGAAGGTAAGAAGTTCAGAAGTTGACATAACTATAACATAGTAATACTTATGTAATCAAATTCTTACGGTTTCTAAGTAATACTTATGAAATCAAATTCTTACAGTTTCTAAGCAAAACATTTTTTACATGAAAACACATACGTAAAACCTTTGGGATGGGAACAGTGAAAACTAAGAATTTTGTTAAAAGTGCATTTCCTGCTTTTGACTATGACAATTATATTGGACAAGCTTTTCAGCTAAATAGATTTTCAGCTGTTTTATTAACATAGGCCTATTTTACACAAGTCTCCAAATCTTCTGGAAGAAGTATTTGTTTAGCATATGTCTAAATTTAAATATTTGGTGGTTTGTGAAAATTATTGTGTTCCATTTTCACACATGAACATAGGAAAGTCATAAAGTTTCACATAAGGGCCGACCCGGTGGCGCACTGCTACAGTGCACCGCTTGGGAGTGCGGTGGCGCTCCCGCCGAGGGTTCGGATCCCACGTACAGACCAGGTCCCGCTCACTGGCTGAGCGAGGTGCGGGAGCAACACCAAGGGTTGCGATCCCGTTGCCGGTCCCGGTCCGGTATGGGCGCGACACTGAGGGTTGCGATCCATTGCCGGACACGAAAAAAGACAAAAAGGGAAGAAAAAAAAAAAAAAAAAAAAGTTTCACATAAAATGTATCCCATACTACTTTGCCTTTTGCATTTACATTCCTTGATAATACCTCAGCAAGGTAGGTAACATATAGCTCCAGATTATTCATTTTTAATAGTTATGTAATATTTTACCCTATGAATATAACACTATCCATTCTCCTGTTGACAGACGTATGCTAGTGCAAACAGTAATTCTCTATTGTTTACATAGGAGTTAAATTCCAAGGTATGTAAGTCTTCAACCAGACAAGTTGTAGTTCTGGATTGACATTACTTTACATTAAGGTTTTCTTCACACACCATCATGCCTGCAGCTAAAGACAGTTTTAATTCTTACTTTCCTATCTTTATTCCTTTTATTGCTTTTTCTTGTCTTATTCCATTGGCTGGGACTTCCAGTAAAATGTTGAATAGAAGCAGTGAAAACAGACATCATTTGCTAGTTCCCTATCTTAACAAGAAAGGAAAATTTCACCATTACTATGTTAGCTGTAGGTTTTTTGTAGATGCCCTTTATCATGTTTAGGAAGTTCTCTCTATTCCTAACGTGCTGAAAGCATTTTGTCTAATGTTTTTTCTGCATATGTTAAGATGATGATGTGAGTTTTCTTCTCTGTTCTCTTAATGTGGTTAATTGTATTGCTATGTTCGTGAAGCATTTGGATCAATAATTTTCTTGTAATGTCCTTATCTGGTTTTGGTTTCGGGGTTGTGCTAATTTCATAAAAGAGTTAGGACATGTTCCATTTTCCTCTGTTTTCTGGAACAGGGTATTATTTTTTTAAATTATTTCACAGAATTCAGTTGGTATTGTTTTACACTGCCTTCAGCAGTACATGGAAATTCCTGTTGTTCCACATCTTCACAAATATTTGGCATTATCAGACTTTTCAGTTTTGCCATTATAATGGCATGAAATGGTATATAGTGCTTTTTGTTTGTTTCTGTTTTACATTTTCCTAATGAATAGTGAGGTTGAGTACCTTATTGTATGATTAACAGGCATTTAAGTTTTAACTTATTTTTTTGCCTGTTTGTGACTTTGCCCATCTTTCTGTTAGGTTGAGTTTTTCTTATAGTTGTATTGGTGTCCTTTATAGGTTTTGGATGCTCATTCTTTATCAGGTACACATTTTGTAAATATCTTCTCCCAGTATGTGGCTTTTCCTTTGACTTTGATTATGCTGCGTTATGAATTACAGATTTTTTTAATGTAGTCAGATTTGTCATTGACCTTGACTCCAAGGCAGCAGTGTACACTAAAGCCACGTGTGTCCATGCTTGCTGCCTCCTGGTACCTCAGCATCACACACAGCCTCCAGGGTCCAAGAGGCATCCACTGAATGTGCAACCTAAACTGGGTCTCAATTCCAGCACCAGGACAAGTTAAGCTGGGAGAGACATCAAAGGTGCTGTTAAAACTTCTTTCAGGAAGTTTTAAAATGCATATATGTTTGTTTTTCAGGTAATTCAGTATCATTGGATTTTGAGAGTTCTTTAGTGTCCAAACCAGACCCACCTCCATCTCAAAATAAGCCACCAACTTTCAGACCAACAAACCGAGAAGATACTGCTCAGCCTACTTTCTATTCCCAGAAAAGTTTCCCAGATAAAGCTCCAATTAATGGTGCTGAACAGACTCAAAAATCGGTCACCGCAGCATACAATCGATTCACACCAAAACCATATACAAGTTCTGCTCGACCATTTGAACGCAAGTTTGAAAGTCCTAAATTCAATCACAATCTTCTGCCAAGTGAAACTGCACATAAACCTGACCTGTCTTCAAAAGCCCCCACTTCTCCAAAAACTCTTATGAAAGCACACAGTTCAGCACAGCCTCCTGAGTTTGACAGTGGAGTTGAAACTTACTCCATCCATGCAGATAAGCCTAAATATCAAGTTAATAACATCAGCACAGTGCCTAAAGCTATTCCTGTGAGGTAAGATTTTTGCCTTTGTTTAAAACATTGGCCCTGTGATTTGTCTTAAGTGAGCTTGAGGTAGTTTGTATGATTTGAAACTTGAAATGATAATTTTAACTCTACCTTTAAACTGAACAGAGTGCTGTTGTAATGAATGCCATTACGTAGAAGGTCCTCCAGGAGATACAAAATATTAATGAAATAATAAAGCTAGCAATCATGTATGGTCAATAGGTATTGTTATTATCCCTGTCTTACCAAGAACTGAGGTTGAGGGACAGCAGTTTGCCCAGGGTCACGCAGTTAGAGGGAGGTGAGCCTTCATTCAGCCCCTGGTTATCTGACCTGACAACCCCCACTCTTAACCAGCCATGGTTTCCCATAACCTCCTAATCTTCTGTGGTGAGCTGCATTTGGAGAGTATCTCAAAAACATAAGTCTATATGTCCACTACTTGTTCAGCAATGCTGCTAAAAGAAAATAAAAGATATAATAACCTCAAAATGGCCATTAAAAAGCAGCAGTTAGTGGTAAGATGGCTGAGCAAAGGAGACAATTAAGCCCACCTGGAGCCACTCTTTTCTGTCTTATTAAATAGTGATTGATAAGACCCACTCTGGCCACACAGGAGCTCATCTCAACCTCCTAAGTCCAGTTACATTTTCAAGCCACCCATGAAGCGGAGCATGTGCAGGCAGAACCAAGGGCTGGGAACGCCACCTACAGTCTGCTTCCCAAGAGGAAGGGTGGTTGTGTCAGTTTGCTGCCCTTCTGTCTCTGTGCGCTTCACAAGTGTTCAGGGATGGGCACAGCGGGCTCATCCTGCACAGGGGCTGCATGATGTTACTGCCTTGGGTGAAGGGCTCTGTTCCCTTGCAGTTGTGCCACGGGACTCAATCCCTGCTGCTCCATTCATGCCAGAATGAAGCACAGCCACCCTCCATTTGCTTTGTTGGTCCATCTTTTTTTTAAGTCCTGTTTCAAAACTTTACTCCAAGAAGTCTTGATAGCCTCCATTTTTGAAGCATTTACTGATTCCAGATCCCCTTTGCCTTTAGTATTCTCTGTGTTCTAAGTTAAGCTACTGTCTCTCTCTCTAATGGATGTTCGAGGTCTACTCATACCAAAGTCTTTACCTTGGGGAAGCTTGGAAACGGTCTTTGACAGCATGGGTATTTGGTACTCAGGAAGTACTAAGGAACAGCCATACATGTGCACTCCTAAAATTCTAGGGGGGTTTTATCAAGCCTAAGATGCCATCAGTTGTAAGATGCACAATTGTTTTATGTATCACTAAGGGGGAAAAAAGGTGCTACAATTAAACTTTGACCATCAGGTTTTTTTGTTGTTTTTTAATAAGTACATTCTAAGATGATGTTGGGGCAGGGGCGGGGCCAACGCCCTGGTTCAGTTCCTCGCCCCCCATCTCAGGATCCCGGGGTTGCTGTAGGCTGTGGTTGGGGCCGAGGCCCCTGGTTCACCATCTCAGGCCCACTGGGGGCTTGATTAAAATGTACTTCTTAAAACCTGTAGTGGGTTGGTGAGTCAGGGTATCAGGTTTTGTACATTCAGATTTCAAAATCAATAATGAAGGTAACTTGACCGATTACCTTCAGAAATGTAGTTGGTTTCTCCAAGAAGAATATGCTCTTAGTTATTCCTGTGAGTCAGTCTATCACTAAAAACTTACCTTGTTAAAGTAAATAACTTCTTGATTGTATGGAGAAATTAAAATAAAATTAAACCACCTATTACAATGGTGATAAAAGGAAAGCTTCTGTATGTTACTAGGAATTTACTTATTAGCCATTTCTGAACTCTCAGTCCTTCAGCTGTGGAAGAGGATGAAGACGAGGATGGTCATACTGTGGTGGCCACAGCCCGAGGCATATTTAACAGCAATGGTGGGGTATTGAGTTCCATAGAAACTGGCGTTAGTATAATTATCCCACAAGGAGCTATTCCTGAAGGAATTGAGCAGGAAATCTATTTCAAGGTTTGCCGAGACAACAGCATCCTCCCACCTTTAGATAAAGAGAAAGGTAAATGTGTTTATTTTTCTGCTTAGTTTTAATAACCTAAGAGTTGCCCTGTGTGCACTTCAAAGCTTGTAGTGCTCAGCCGAGGGGATAATCTAGTACCCTCTCTCCTGTGTCTCCCCACTGGGCCAACCTCAGCATGTTCCTTCCATTCAATTGAGCACTGAGGAGGGAGTGTCCTGGAGTGGCCTATGGTAAGGTATGCTTTACTTTCAGTGTGAAATCAAAAGTGACAGCAGCAAAAGAAAAAAAAGAACACAAAAAATAAAATAGAAAAAATAAATTAATGGCCTGGTATAATTTTTTTTTTTTTGGCAGCTGGCTGCTATGGGAATCCAAACCCTTGACCTTGGTGGTGTTATACCATGCTCTAACCAGCTGAGCTAACTGGCCAGCTGATATGTACAATTGTTTCAGCAGTTTAGAAAGAAAAAAAAAATCAATACAGGAGTTGGAGATTATTTTTTGATACTGAAACAAAGCAATTAAATTTTTTTTGTTCTTAGTTTATTTAAAGGCTCTTATATACATAGAGACTTTATACAATTAAAGCCATACAAAATAAGAAATAAAAAGAAAACAAAAGACAAAATAAACAAACAAAAAGGTATAAAAATAAGACCCCAAAAAGTGGTGGCCTGTGATAGGCTGTGGGGGCATCTCTCACACGTGGTAGCCAGGCAGTTTTGGCAGACCTAACCAAATTGTCTTTGAATCAGTCAGTCCTTCCATCTCTAGAGATGGGTTAGATAGCACCCACTCAGAAAGGCTTTGCTCTGCCTGTCACCTGATATAGAACGTAAGCTTCTTGGGGCAGGAGCTATCTTTTTTTTTTTTTTCCTTTTTTTGTCTTTTTTCGTGACCGGCAACGGATCGCAACCCTCAGTGTCACGCCCGTACCGGACCGGGACCGACAACGGGATCGCAACCCTCGGCGTTGCTCCCGCACCTCACTCAGCCAGTGAGCAGCCGGTCTGTATGTGGGATCCGAACCCTCGGCGGGAGCACCGCCGCGCTTCCCAGGCAGCGAACTGTAGCAGTGCGCCACCGGGCCGGCCCTGGGGCAGGAGCTATCTTAACTCATAACCCCAGTACCTAGCACTAGTAAACATTCAATGGTGTGAATGAAATGTCCTTACAGGATATTAAGTGTGTTTCTGAGTTTCTTAAGGAACCTAGAAATGCTATTATTTTCATAATTTTCCTGGATCTATCAGGATGATATTATGATGAACTTTCTTTTAGCACCCTTTAGCAGTTCCCCTAAATATATTACTTTAGCTTACTTTCTTATGTTTTGACAGAATGCTAACATCTGACCCTGTTCTTTTATTCTGTTTTGAAGACCAATAGGATTGACTGTATTGGCCCAGCATGAGTCCCTTAAACCAAGTTTGTAGTAAATAAAACATTAAAAATGGAAGATACGAGTAACATTTATAAAAAGTACATTGGAATATATTTTATACTATAGACCCATACAATTGAATGCAGTAGCCACTAGCTATATGTGGCTACTTTGAATTGAAAAGGTGCTGGAAATATAAAATATACACCAATTTCAGAGAATTAGTTTATTGATTACTTGTTGAAATACTGTTTTGGTTATATTGAGTTAAATAAAATAATAAAATTGATGTCACCTGTTTCTTTTTACTTTCTAATGTGGCTGCTAGAAAATTTTAAATTACATGTATGTCTTTGTTATATTTTTCTTGGTCAGTGCTGCTGTAGAGAACTAACCCTATTTGGCTTTAAAGCATATAATTCGAAGGGGGGTGAGGAGAACTGTGGTTCTAGAAGGAAGACTGCCATCTAACCTCTCCACGCGTCCCCTTCCCTGACTCCAGGTGAAACACTACTGAGTCCTTTAGTGATGTGTGGGCCCCATGGCCTCAAGTTCCTGAAGCCTGTGGAGCTGCGCTTACCACACTGTGCGTCTATGACTCCTGACGGTTGGTCTTTTGCTCTAAAATCATCCGACTCCTCGTCGGGTATGCTGTCTTCACTCTGTCCTTTGGGGGCTTTGGGTACTGTCATTGATTAATATTTGGGCTGATGATGCTACCCATGCTGTTTGTTAGCAAATCTCTACCTCTGTTCCTGTGGCCTTGTAGGCATCACCAGTGTTTTCAAATTTATTTGTGGTACATATATTGTAAATGAATATGGAAAGGTAAAGAAGTTTCTGCCTTTTAAAAAATTGGTGATTTGGCCAAAGGTTGACTATTTCTCTGTGTCAAAATTTTCAGGATGCAATGGGAGAATTGTTCTTGTCCTACACACATAGGCATTTTTATCTCACTAAAATGATTTGATTTCTTTATGTAATTATTTCTATTTTCGGTTACTGTTTTTCAGTTTCTTAATCTACAAAGTATATATACCAGAGAAACTTAAAAGAAAAAGATCTTCCACTGTGATCACACTTGGCCATGGTTTTTCAATGTAAAACTCTTAAATACTTTCTACTATATACTATTTTTAAATGACTTTTTGCTTTTAAGATCATAATTTCAAAGTTTTCATTGCATTTTCACATTTCTCACTTCCTTGAGTGACTTAAGTCAGTTGCCAGTTGGAACTTACTTTATTTTTGATGTAGATCACTTTAAGAGAACCTGATATAGAAAAAGAATATAAAGTCCTGCTTCTAAATTTTTGATAAACAGAATTCTGCTCATCTAATTTTAGTTTGGTAAAGTATGAAATAGAGGTTTATGGTATAAAGATAATACTAGGAGTATACTTTAATATTACTCTAGAGAGGAAATTATATGTAGCTTTGTATTTCCTCATATTTACAAGTGCTGCATTTTCTGGAAAAAATTAATAAATTAATTTTAACACACTTGATACTAAAGCTGTTTTCTCAGGGACTTCACTGAGAAAGTTTATTAGCCTAGTTTGAATTAGTGAATTAACATTAATAAAACTGCATTTAAAGTGTGTGTTCTGAAAGGCAGTATGAGATCTGACTGTCCTCTAGACCAAATTAGGATGGGGTTCCTTAAAACAATTGTCTATTGTACTTACTTGCTTTATAAGTGATCTTTTTCCAGATATTATATGAAGCATAAATTATTTCCACATTTGTTGTTTCAGTGTTTACACCATAGAATATAAGTTTTGTTGAGATTGAAACAACTTACTTTTCTGTGTTAAATTTGAGTATATTCACCCAGAAAATAAATGAATGGCTTTCGAATACTTTGCTACTTAAATTTCTGTTCAAAAATCAATGTAGATTTTAATAAGTACTGACTTAATCCCAACAAAAACTAGATTAGAAAGAAACTCAAACCTAAAGATATTTTTTATTTACTTCCAAAGAGTTGTCATATATTTCATTGCCTGATCAGTTTATTACATAAGCCTATATGTGTGTGTGTGTGTGTGTATCTGCAAAATTTAAATCACTGTCTTCTAAACTGCTGATCCCATCGTGAAATGCCATTGACTCCAGGTATTGCTTAGGTAATGTTTACTGTAGGCAGGATTCTCAGTTGGCACTGTTGACATTTTGACCAAATAATTATTGGTTGTAGGGGCTATCCTGTGCCTTGTGGGATGTTTAACAGTTTCCCTGGCCTCTACCCCCTAGATGCCAGTTGTGACAAGCAAAAGCATCTCCAGACACTGCACCACCACGGGCACAATTGCTCCTAGTCGAGAGCTGTTGCTGTTGGGATTAAGTTAGCAGTTTTGACTATCAACTTATTTGAATCTCATGGAGACATAACAGTCGTCCCATCCTTCTTCACGTTTAGTATCCGCTTAGCGCTCGCTGCAAATTTAAAAACTCGAATGCCCAAGATCTACCTTAGACTTACACAGTCAGTGAGTTTTTGAAGCTCCACGAATGATGTTGTGTACAGTCAGAATCAGGGCTTAGCAGCTCTGCTGCAGTCTTGATGATTTTTTTTTTTTTTTTTTTTTAGAGGGAGTAGGATCTTCAGGAACCAGATTCTGCAGAATTTGGGGGTTTCATTTGTTAGTCTATAGTTGAGTGTAAGAAATGGGTTCTCATACTCAGCTCAAATGGGTGATCATATAATTATTGTCCAAACTTTAGAAAGTAAAAGTTAAGAGCTATGTGGACTTGGAGGCAAACTGGGACTGTCTCAGGCATGTGGTTGCACTAGCTTTTATTCATTTTTTGAAAAGGCCAATGAACTTGGTAACATAATAAAAGAAGAAGTCTGAAACAGCTTTCAAATTGTTAAGAGGCCAGCAAGTCTGCACTGAAGTATAGCATGAAGAGTTTTGATACAAATCCAACATGTTCAAGAAATAGAAGAAAATTATGTCTAAATATATTTTATATTTGCTCTGTAATTTCAAAGCATTATGGACAGCAGTTTAGCCAACTATAAATGACATCAACTTCTTTTTCTCTCATAGGTGATCCTAAAACCTGGCAAAACAAGTGTCTTCCTGGAGACCCAAATTATCTTGTTGGAGCAAACTGTGTTTCTGTCCTGATTGACCACTTTTAATTCTTAAAATATACAAACTTGATTAAATAATGTGAAACTGGGTTAAACTTACTAAATCTAAATGGAACCACTCTTGTCAAGTATTATACTTTTCTTGGAATTGATACTACAATTTGTTAGTATTAAGTATTTGCTTGAACTGATGAACATTAGTGAGCATGCCCCTGAACCATGGTCAGAAAACATGCTACATACTGCGTGTTTGTGATTGAGGAACTATTGGTATTGGCTAGATGTTCAAAGATATTTTGCTTGTAATTTTTGTACTTTTTTATGGTCACTGCTTAACTTCATATATTGATTTCCGTTAAATACCAGCCAGTAAATGGGGGTGCATTTGAGTTCTGTTCTTTCCCCAAAGTACACTCTTTGAAACTTTATTATTTTATTATGCATGAGGTAATATGCACACATTTTAAAAATGCACCTGGAATATATAACCAGTGTAGTGGATTTGTGCAGCAGTGTGCAGCAGGGGAATTTATATCTTGGGGTGGGGTGGGGGGGTCAAGTGAAGACAATTGCTTACTGTATATGGAAACACATTTTTCTTATGGAAGGACACCAAAGCATGTGAGACTGGTTCCATGACCTCTCTGGATCTATAAATTAACCATATCACCACAGACATACTAACCAGCAGGAATGCCTTACCCTCATGTTTTTAATTCTTAGCTCATTCTCGCTGTGTATTACTAAGTTTTTATGGCTTTGTGCACATCTAGATACTGTATCATGAAAAAGATTGAGTAAATTGTGGATTTGGTGGTTTCAGAAATCTATAATCACCCAGAAGAAAATAATGGTGTGATTCTGGGGGTTTTGTTTTTGTTTTTGAACAAGGGGCAGTGGTTTTGTTCTTTTTGGCTATGCACTTGAAAATTTTGATGTTTTAAGTAAGGATGCTTGTACATAATGCGTGCATACCACTTTTGTTCTTGGTTTGTAAATTAACTTTTATAAACTTTACCTTTTTTATACATAAACAAAACCAAGTTTCTAAAAGCTACCTTTGTATTCTCTCCTGTACCTCTTGAGCCTTGAACTTTGACCTCTGCAGCAATAAAGCAGCGTTTATATGACACACACAAGGTCATTTTTTTAAAGAAAAAGAATGCACAGAGTTGTTACATTTTTAAGTGCTGCATTTAAAAGATACAGTTACTCAGAATTCTCTAGTTTGATTAAATTCTTGCAAAGTATCCCTACTGTAATTTGTGATACAATACTGTGCCCTAAAGTGTATTTTTTTACTAATAGACAATTTATTATGGCACATCAGCACGATTTCTGTTTAGATAATACACCACTACATTCTGTTAATCATTAGGTGTGACAGTTTCTTTTTGTGGCTATTAAAAACCTCAAATTTCTAAATCTGCAAAATAAAACTTTTTAAAATAAAATGCTGGTTTGGTTGGTCTGTTTGCCCACTGTTCTAGTTTCATGCAGCATTATAATCCTGTTTTAAAATCCTGCACACTAATCCTCATCACCCAACTTTGTCTGTTTTCTCTTCAGATTTGGTGCTGCACATACAGAATCTATTCCCCATGACCAGTGTGTACTGCTGTGTGGGCAGTGGTGGTCAAAAGAGCTTCAGATTGAAGCTGGTCAGTGAAACCCTGAGACAGTAGGAAAAAGAGGCAGGCAGACTGAAAACTTTTTTATTCTTTCTACTGCATGTATAAACATACATACATTTATGTGTGTGTGTTCATTAAGACCAGTTTGTATTTGGCTTTATTCCCCAGAAACATAACGTGGGGGAAATGTCACTATGTTTGGGGGAAGAAAATGGTTTTTACTGGCTATATATAGCCCATTGTGGTTACTGTATTTATTTAACTGCCACTGCAAATGACATTTAGGTTGTTGCTGTAGTGTTTTAGTGAACATCTTTGTAGATCTAGTCTGTGTTTGTGGATTTTGTTTGTTTCATCTTTTTTTTAATCAAGGTATGATTTACATACAATAAGTTACCCTTTTTAAAGTGTGTAGTTCTCCAAATTTTGACAAATACATACTGTCATGACCATTACTACAATTACTATATTTCTTTATCCCCAAAGAGTCCTTTGTACCCCTTTATACTCAACCCCTCTTCCAGCCCCTGGCAAACAGTGATATCTTTTCTGTCCCTATAGTTTTGCCTTTTTGAGGCTGTCGTGTAAATGGAATCATACAATATGTAGCCTTTGAGTCTGGCTTCCTTGACTTAGCATGATGCATTTGAGATGCATTTGAGATGATGTTGCAGGTATCAGTACTTTTTTTATTGCTGATTAGTGTTCCATTGTGTATACCAGAGTTTATCCATTCTCCAGTTGAGGAGCTTTTGGGTTGTCTCCAGGTTTTGGAGATTATGGATAAAGCTGCTATAAATATTTGGATACAGGTTTTTGTGTGAACATTTCATTTGACTAAGTTTTCATTTCACTTGAATAAATACGTATGGCTGGGGTTGCTGGTTCATATGGGAAGTGTATGTTTAACTTCATAGGAAACTGCTCACCTGTTCTCCAGAGCAGCTGCATCATTTTGCACCATCAGCCATCTGTGAGGGTCCAGTTGCTTCATGTCTCCACCAGCAGTTGCTATTGTCAGCATTTTTTACCTTAGGCATTCTGATAGTCTGTCTCATTGTGGTCTTGATTTGCAGCTCTCTAATGACTCATGTTGTTGCACATCTTTAAATTTATTTGCCATCTATCTTCTTTTGATAATGCACATCTTTAAATTTATTTGCCATCTATCTACTTTTGGTAAAGTATCTGTTCAAATCGTTTCCCATTTTTAAAAATTAGATTTTTTTCTTATTATTGAGTTTTGAGAGTTCTTCATATGCAAAGGGTCTTTCAAAAGTTCTTGGGGGCCGGCCCAGTGGCGCACTGGAGAGTGCGCCGCTTGGGAGTGTGGCAGCGCTCCCGCCGAGGGTTCGGATCCCATGTGGAGACCGGTTCCCGCTCACTAGCTGAGCGCGGTGCGGGCGCAACACCGAGGGTTGCGATCCCGTTACTGGTCAGTTAAAAAAAAAAAAGACAAAAAGGGGAAAAAAAAAAAGTTCTTGGAAAGGTTTGTATTTCATTTTTCCACAAACTTTTTGAAGTATCCTCATTCTGGGTGCAAATTCATTTTCAGATACATGATTTGCAAACATTTTCTTAATAGTGTCCTTCAAAGAGCAGGAGTTATTTTGATGAAGTCCAGTTTATCAGTTTGTTCTTTCATAGATGGTGCTTTTGGTACCATATCTAAGATATTTTTGCCTAAGCCAAGGCACAAAGATTTTTCTCCTAAGTTTTCTTTCAGAATTTAGGTTTTACATTTATGACCCATTTTGAGTTAATGTTATCTGTGAATATAGGATGAGGTATGTGTTGTTTCATATAGTCTATTTTAAATGTATCCTTATTATAAGCACAGACCCACATACAATAGGCCTAAACAAGACATTGGGTTTCCATATACATTAGTGAAAGGACGTAACTCAGCAAGCCTGTAATAACAGGCTTGTGCCTTCCTGCCTTTTACTTCATGGCATGAATGCCAGACAAGGTTTATATACCTCTTGCTTTTAATGTTGTCAGGAATAAGGACATTTCTGTTCCCTCAAACCATCTTCCCGAGAGCACTAAGCATGGTCCAGTGAAGTAATCCAGATGGCCAAGTTCTAGTGTCAGAAGCCCTTTTTTTTGCCCTTTCCCATGCTGCTCATATACTCAGTAGGAAACTTAGCGGACATGCACGAGTGTTACTTGAATTAGTGCTGCCTCCTCTTGACCTCTTATCTAATATTCCTTTGGTGCAATGCACATGAGGCACTGTACAAGTGAAGAGGACCCAGCTGAGGAGGTGGACCTTGACAGGGATGCAGTGGCCAGTAAGGGATGTGGCAGCAGATGCTGCCACAGGGAAGGCCGCTGCACAGGCAAATGGGGGATGAGTTTTCAGTTTGCTTTGACTTGTAGTTTGAAAAGCACTTTCTGGATAGGAAGCCAGCATCTGTTTGCTGTCTGGTTTGTAGAAGGCAAACTGGAGGACTAAACACAGATAATATCCCAAGTCAAGTTACTAAAGCTGCCTGGGAAGCTCTACAGAAGGAGAATGATCAGTCTATTCCCAGGTTGCTTAACCAAGTTTCCCCAGATGGAGTGCTGGGAAGATCCATCCTAATGTGCTAACTTTTATGGAACCAAACTGTCATCCCATAATAAATTTGGTCACAATAAAAGCTCAGTTAACAGCCTTTTTTTTTTTTTTTTTTGACTCATCTATTTTACTCCTTAGTTTGCTTTCCTTTCAAGCCAATTGACAGTGAAGGAACTATTATCCAAGGGGTGGAAATATTGGGTTTTTTTCAGAATTCACAAGGTATAAAACTTGGGTAATGTTTGATTCACAACTAAAATGGATAAAACGAAATATCTGTGTTCCATTCCTATTTCATACAAAATCAAGGCTTTACAAATTGCCTTTAGGGTGCACCCTAGAGTCCTCCAGGTTACTGTGATCACTTGGGTTAGCTGGAATTTGACAAGGTGCTCAGAAAAATCTGTAACTGATTGTGATGAGCCTTCTACATTTTGACACTCTCCCTTTGCAGAATTGGTTGGTGTATGAATTCAAAACAGTTTTATTCCCAGGTGTCTAGGAAACCTTTTTCGCCTACTGGAACAGTGCCAGGCAGGGAAGATGTGTAACCGTGTTTTCACTCTGTATGCCTGGGAAGTGCAACTAATGGGAGCAGAAGAGCCCCCATCTGGAGCTGCCCTTCCTCTTCAGTTGCGGAAAAGTCAGGCAGAGGTGTGTGGGCACAGGTTATTTTGGTGTATTTGTGCTAGGTTTGATTGTTACAGTTTTATTTTTTGAGGCATTGAAAAATACTGTTTGTCCACAGGTGACCTGGTCTTAAGTGGATTGAAAACATGCAGGTATAAATCTTTTTTTTTTACCCCTTAAAAACAGAGAAGGAAGGAAATCGTGAGAACTGACACATGACCAATATGCAAATGATGTTTAATGTTGTGGGGGGGAAAGGGGAGCCCAGTATTTACACTAACAGCCCTTCAGTTCTTGGCAACTGGTATATGGCAAAAACCATCATGAAAGAAAGGCAGTGAGTTTGGGCTTCCTAGAGGGGACTTTCAGGACCTGGAGTTTCTCAGAGCATTTCTAAAAATGAGTGTCTTCAATGTTGTATAAGGTCAACCTGAGGACAAGGGGGAAGTCAGGTGGAAAGGACAAAGCTTAAGACCTAAAGATCCTCAGTCTTGGTACCCACCAGGCAGAAATCACAGTCATGGTGGGAAGCTGTAGGGTTTCAGAGACATTGGAAACCAAGTGGTGTAAAGCAAAATTGAGTTTCTTAGAAGACTGCTACTTATTAGAGGGCATACGTAATGCAACAGTCCTGGGGATTCACTGGTCTCTTCTTGAAAGGTCTAGGGAGGAGGGTGGTGACATCATTAGTAGGGTTCAGGGCTGCTACCCCTGGAGGACAAGGTGTTTTTTTGGTTGTTTTTTTGTTTGTTTTTGTTTTTAAATATTAAAGTAAACTGTAAGAGTGTTCCAACCAAACCTTGGAGACATGCTCCCAAATTTTAACATACAACATTTATGACAGCACATAAACTGCAAATTTTCCAAGGAAGCGTCACGAATACAAGTCCTCTTGAAACACTTTTGTGGCTCTCCCAGAAGTGGAAGACCCAGGAGATTCAGGGCAGGTGCCAGGAGAGAGTGAAGGGTGGGTCTGTGTCCACCATCTGGATGGCTCTCCATGGAAGGGGGTTAGAACTGTGTGTAGGGAGGGCTATGGTTAAACCAAGTGTCCTTCCCTCAGGAAACCACGAGAGCACAGCTTCCAGCCCATCATGGGGTGGGGGGGGGAGTTATGGGAGGGCAGTACTAATTTTTAACATATTATCACACAGAAAAGTTGCAAGAATAACAGCATTTGCAAGAATACTACAGAGAACTCCCTTATACACTTTACTCAGATTCCCCAAGTGTTATTATTTTGCCACATTTGCACATGCACAGTAGGTACAGTATGTTAGGTAAGTAGATAGGGAGATAAAAAGTCAGCTCAGGCTGTCATAATAAAATGCCATGGCCTGGGTAGCTTAATAGTATTTTCTTGCAATTCTGGAGGCTGAAGTCCAGATCAGGGTGCTAGCAGGGTCAGTTTCTGACTTGTAGATGACCACATTCTGTGTCCTCGTGTGGCCTTTTCTTGGTATGTGCACTGGAGAGAGCAAGCAAGCTCTCTGGTATGTCATAAGGACAATAATCTTAATCAGATCAGGGACCTCATTTAACCTTAATTGCTTCCTTAGAGGCCCCATGTCAACATACAGCCACAGTGGAGGTTAAGGCTTCAAACATGAATTTTAGGGGACAC